CAGTAGTACACATCTGTCTTACCTAGTGAACTCGGTGCGAATTAACTGAGGAACGTATTGTCTTTGGAATCCTACACATGCACCCTGGATAGTACAACAACGCTAAGCCGATTAGGCCGAATTTCCATGATAACCTCCCTTTTGTGCTTCAAGTGAGGTTTTGTCATGTAAATCTGCTAGACCTCATCATATGTTATATTCGCATAATAAAACAGATTCCAGTTGGGCTAGATTCAGAGAAGTACTCATTGGGATTCCTCCAAACAGCCGAAATCTGAATGTAATTGCAAACTTCTTCCCTCCGTTGAAGGTAGAGGTGAATCAGCCACCTAAATAGCGTAGAAATTACTCGAGGAAACTGACAAATGAACTGTTTGCCAAGAGTGCATCTACTTGTACGTTCACTTGACCAAGAATAAAGGAGGGCACACCGAGTATCCACAACCCAAAATTACACTATCGGTGTCCAGCACCTCAGACCTCTTCATTAAGGTATCTTCACGATTCCTTCAACTAATGTTGGTTATCTTGCAATTGATGCTCTCCGAACCGCTGTAGAGCTCGAGAAACTTTTAGGCCGTTTGACTGAAAGTAGCAACTATTTCGGTAGGAAACCAGAGCTAAGAAACCAGATGACGGGAAGCATGTGCCTCAGATAAAGAATCAGCTTCTACTAAGTATTAGCGACTTGTCGTATTATATATCAAGACTTCCGCTGCTTTTAAGTATTCCCATATGCTCAAACCCAGAGACATTATGTAACAACATACTTAATGAAAATAAAGCTCAGTAATAGAGAAATAAAATACCAACTGAACTGAGCAGCCTAATCAAAAGTCAAATATTAATTTTCTGGTAAATTCAATGAATATTGCTAGAAAAATGTTCATCAAAATGTTGCATGTACATCCGAAATATTGCACAATTAAATCTCTTCATAAAGAGTCCAAGAAAAATGGCTTAGTTAATTATGCCACTTTATCGTAGGAATCCGCAAATTTACGTGATAATAACTGTTGAGTTTTTTTTCATCTGGCTAATGAAACGAACAAAAGGTAGGTGCTCCGTTCATGGCATAGGAACCACCATCAATGTAGCTCACTAATAATGACGAACCCATGGAATTTACTACAAACCGACATTTTGTTTCTCGCCATTTTCTAATAAAACCCCTTAATAAAACCCTAAAGTTGATTTTCATCGAAGTGCTAAATCTGTTCTCTAATTTTCATTTTGGCTGAAATCTTCAGTTACCATTTGTGATTCGTGCCGGAATCACAGTCCACCCCACCAAAAATGGTTGAAAACTATACTTGACTCTGAACACTTTTTTAAGGTTCCTGGGTCTACAACAGAGACGTTTAAACACTGAAATTCATAAGTACGAATGCTGTATTTCGCAAATTTATTTGCGATAATCATGAAAGAAGGTTACAGCCAATACAAGAAGGAGATGTAGACCTATTAAACGTTTATCCGGATTTATTGACTCTTAAATTTCCCAGTGTTTCTCAAGTAAATACAATACTTCCGGGGCATCGGAGAAATCCATACAAAAACAGACAACAGTCCATCGTGCCAACCACGAGGGTGACATAATATAAAGTGCTTCAAGCACTACATAGCCATTTCTGTCTCTTTATGTAAAACTGACTCAGTGAAACTGTCAAACCCATCAGAGAGGAAAAAGGTCCCAGGCATCTCAGATAAAATGGATACATATATTTTAAAGGAGAGAACACTCCTACCTCCATGGTTCCTTGCCTGACATTTGTGCTCAGCCGCGTAAAATATGATCAAAGCATGTCGAAAATCGTTGGAAAGAAAATGCCGTTCAGACTTATGAACTGAATTAATACATACGATGGAAATCACTGTAATTAGTTTTGACAGCATAATACGCAAAACACCACGATTAGTCAGGTAACTAAAACTTGAGGACTTCCAAAGCTGAGAAAAAATTCAAAATTCAAATCATACTTGACGGAAAGTAATAAAAAGTAAAACCACGACACGAAATGTGTACTCCTGCCCTATTATGTGACTAACCGATCCCGTTCAGAGAGATCACACATTCCAAGTCACAACTCCCTGCACTGGGAACACACCCACTTAGGTCGGTTTGACAAACAGCCTGACGTTTTCACGAGTGATATCACGCTGAGAGTCATTTCACGTGTGAAATGCTCCATTGATCAAAATCTGTGTTCCCATCGTCAGATCGCATCACTGGTAGTAGCATGAGAATCCACGCTGAGCGAGCTACTTTCACACTGGCACATTAGTGGTGTGAATCCCTAATTCGGTGATCACCAAACTCAAGTGAGAAAACAATGCTTTCCATTGATATTAGACCGTTTGGCAGGTGCAGTTTGTGTGACCGCGTGATAGGAAGAGTATACAGCGAACTAAAGCCAGTGGACGCTCATACGCTCACCTGCCCCGCTACACCCATTTGGATTATTGTATAAATCGAACAAATAATTTATTCATTTATCCCGTGCGAGGACGGAGGTGGAGCAGACAATCAATTGGGAAAGGCAGTCAGAGCTAGTCGGATAACAGCCAGAAGTATGGAAAAATTCTGTGACGAAGTGGGAGAACGTACGGTTAGCGTTGCTCCAACAGATGGTACTGCTTGAGAAGTAAAATACCACCAATAGAAATCAAACAGAGAATGAATATATTCCATTTCCATTATTTCCTTCGGCGTACTAACTCAAACAATTTACTTGCTCTTTAATCAGTTTTCTGTCCGTTTTGAAAATAATTGACGCCACTGGCTTCGGTTTCGTCATCGTGATCCAGTTTTCTTAACGCACTTTGTTTATGTCCTGTTTTGAATGAAATCGTTATGAAAGATGCCTTCATGTGCACTCTAACCCGAAGGAAAGTTCGTAGCACATTCTTAATATTCTGAATGCATCCCTAAATGTAATTTACAGTAATGTATTTCTGGTTATCATTCCCATTCTCATTTCTGTAATAAATGTGTAGTCAAAAAGGATCACTCCCGTATTTCAGCTAACCATTGCATTTCAACGCCCATGGCCTAGTCCCTTTCGATTTATTTTATACATATGGGAGTAGTAGCAATTCATGAGGTTGTTTTCATGTGCTCCTGATTCTCCACATGAAATGAGCTGGTTTTCTAAACGTCACAGCCACTGATTCTCAGGATAGTTATAACCGCATGGACAAAACTCCCCAAATGACTAAAGCAAAATTTATCTATAATAGTCCAAAAATCTGTATCACCTGATTTCAGAGTGTTGGGCTAAGCTATATTCTAGTACGGAGATGCCAGTTAGGGAAATAAGGCAATTTCTTCTGAATTTCACAGAGAATTGATGTAAAGCATTTTCGAACAAGTTTAATTACCCTTAACTTCATCCCTCCGAGGGACGCTTGACGTAGTAGAATCAACTAATTAAAGGATTATTCTAAGATAAGTGACGGCTTTTAAGTTCAACGGCTTGCCGTAAATACCGGTGACCAAATAACTGGTACCCTTAGTGGCCATATGATACAATTGCATATCATCACAGGGTAGGCAGTAACAATCCTGTCGTTTTTACGCATGTATAAAAACTCTTGGGTGGCACTGGCGCAGTTCAACCAGGTTTCATTTTCTGCCTCTTTAGTTGGAAGTATCATAAATTTTTCATTTTAGAAACCTAAAGGTTCTTGAAAGTTTAACTTTTGACATGGAGGAACCGTGTTTATGGTACTGTTTGTGAGAAAACGTAGACTTTACCTTATAAATCTTCTAAAGAGTAAGTTCTACGCAACTCCGAAACGAAGAAGCATGAATCGGTGTGCTGTTAAAGATAATGTTTTCTTCCGCTGGTTCCAGATCAGTTAGGAACTTTTTGGGATTAGGATAAACATGTGGGCAACCGGTGAACTTTACACTCGTTCGCATCGTTTACGTGAATTCTCTCTCACGTGTTGAAAGAGTAAGATTATAACTAGGGTTTCAATCACCCGGGGTATTTCATCCTCCTTTAGTGTCCATTAAAGTGATCACTTTTTCTTACTGAATCCAATTTGATACAAAAATTATCATGAGTTTTTCCAATGGTTAGGCATTTTCACCAATCCAGGAAAAATGAAGAAGTTTTTCAACAAAGTCTTCATGTTCTAGAAACCCACGATATGCTTCGTTCTCCAGGATCTAACCATATACCATTTGATCAGCCTAGACAATGAGAGAAAAACTTTACTTAACTGACTTGAAATCCTCTACAATAGTCGTTTTGTGGAAATCATTCGAAAGGAATTCTACATGAATTAAGCTTATTAGGCAAAGTTTGATTTGGCCTATGGTATTCCTTGCGTCATGGTCGGATAGGAATACCAGACATACGGTGGCCGCATTCTCTGAGCCAATGATTAATTTCTCTCGATTGATATTCTTCAAATTCGTCAACAATGGTTCCTAGAATAACGCTTACATCAGCCACTGTTTTTATTTCTACCAGTCCGATTTGAAAGCAACTCTGATCTTCTGAATCTTACCAAAATGGAACCTGTGGCCTTACTCTTCTCGGTCTTAGAAAACTGCATAGACATTAATTTGCATAACCTAAAACCTCGATAAACTGTACTGTCCTTCACTTCCTTCAATACACTAATCAATAAACACTGATTGGATTAATCTGCAGCCATCAACACGAGCTTATTAATTTTGTCATCATTTCCCAAAATGAGAAGTAAGAAGATTTCATGTCATGCACAAAAGTATATTTTGTTTGTACATTTTCAATACTTCTTCATCAATTACTTCGTTTTTATTGAGTTCATTCATCAAAAGCGGTTGAGGAGGAAATGAATTTCCTTGATGGTGACCGGCGCAAAATGAAGAAGACAATTTAGAAAGTATTGTTTCTTCATAAGTCGGTAAACTTGTCCACCATCTTGCCAGTGTAACAAATATGTTTGCTGTTTGTGTCTGAATCATACATTTCACATAAAAGAGTTGTCCCCAGTTTAAGACATTATGGGAAAATAATCACATGTGGATCCTTAGGGTAACTGGTTCTTCTCAACACCAGCTCATAATCTGTGAATCCTTGCAGGGACTGCTTCGATAAACGGCAGAGGACAGGACTGTTTAAACCTGATTGGCGAGGGATTCTGGAACTTGATGTGGAACAACCACCAGCTGGAGGCACAAAAATCACACGCAATGTGACACCATGGTCTTTATTATTAATGTTGTACTCCATCTGCGTGCCACTTTCTTCCAAAAGCGCTGGATCAGGACAATCCAAAGTGCCGTTTCTACGCCTTTTTTGCTCCGTCGAAATACAAGAGTTCAAAGAGTGCAAATTACCATCCGCAATCTTATCAGTTGCGTAATCGGGTTTCGGAGTGGAATCTTTCTTTGATGTCCGATTCTTTTTACTATGTTGCTCACTGGAACAGCTTTCAAATCGGTTTTCCATAGATTGGTAAACTGAGTACAACTGCTCACTGGCGGGCTTATCCAGCTTGTAGAATCGCGAACGCTGATCGGTTTCCGGGGTCGCAGTGTCCAATTTCGATCGCCCATTTTTGTTGTGATGTTGACATCCATCCCGATACAATGGTCGCAGGTTCCACGGGAGTCCGTACATATCTTCATGCAGTAAGGTGGCGCTATTCAGCACACATTTTCGAATACAAGTAGTCAGGCGCCTGGCATTGTAGGCAAATGCTTCAGAGATGGAATAACGTCGAACGGTAGGTCGCACACAAGTTGACTGACTTTTACATTTGGAGAAATAATTTGTTGTCGATGGGACGTTCATATGACTCCGCTCGTCGTGCGACTTCGAACGACTGACAACGGGTTTATGCATAGAACTTCCACCGATTGATTTCTGGACACCTTTGAGGTTGAAGCTTTCCTGTAACATCATCACTTTGGTTCTTGAACACTGTTTTGTAATCAGAATCAAACTAAAACACATTAAGTCCACCGTAATCGGTTCACTTGTTTATATAGGAAAATTTGAACGAAGTTAGCACAGACCTGACCAATGGGAACGGCTTTGCGTCGTAGATCAAACCTGATTGGTCACTAAAATATTTGTCTATATCCTGCTGAAAATTGAAAACCTTGCACTAGTCAGTAATTCTACCAAAATTCCAGCAGTTTTTTAAAATAATTTTAACCACTTGAATGTTGAAAAATAAACTAATTCTTCTGTCTCATTTAATTTAATTTCAAGTATTTCCGACCACAAGGACCAAAGAGAGAATATCATACTGTGAGTTAAATATCAGTTTAGATTTAGAACTGCAGACTCGATTATAAGTAGCAGTTGGGTATATTTGGGTTGCCTAATACATCAATGAATATTTTTATTATAATGGTAAGAAATATCTCCTTTTCGCACAAAAGTACGACCCAACAAGAAAAGCTTTGTTATACAATTTTGATTTTTCATATCAATTTCCACAACTTTTCAGTACTGGAAGATTTTCCTTCTTACGTATTACTAACTGAGATGCTGAAACCGATTTCTTAAATGTTAGACAGAGATAAATTTTATATACATTGCTCCAGTTCATATTATATATTTTTTCATGCTTCTAAGCGACACCTGTACTTTCGGTTTGTTTATTAAGTTTGTGAATTCAGGACTTTATCTTCGTCGAATATTGTCTGAAACACGAAAATGAAACCATTCTGTTGAAGTCAACCTGATTATTTACCTCTTTTTAGAAGTTCAAACAAAAGGCTATGTCCAACTGTCTTTGACCCATTGTTTTCTACCAAACCGAGATCAATTCTATCGATTTTGCTGAAAGAAACATTACCTATTACTCAAACATTCCAACCTGAGTCTTGTTCAAAACTCTTGCTGGTGGCATGCATTTTGTTTGTAAATCACCTGATATGATAACCAAATCATACTAATCTTCATTGGTTATTCTAAATTTTTGGGGTTCGTGCATTGTCAAATCTAAGCAAATCCACAATGGATTGTCCAACCTTCTTCTTAGTAGAGTAATACACAGCTCTTTTGAAAGCAAACTAATACATTAAATTGTTTTGGACAAGGACGTTCCTCCCCTTTTATGCGTCGGTTTGACCGTTATATACATGAGCAAAATGTTTATTCGTAATTTAACAAGGAAAGCTCTTCCAAACTACCCCGCCATTCATCTTTTGTTCAAGTATTCTCTAAATAATAAAAATGATAATCTATAAAGTATGAATTCTTTACAAGGTGAATCAGAACGGCTGTTAGCTTAGAATAGCAGGACGCCCTAATTTGAAAAAAACTAGACGCCAACTGTTACCACTGGGTTTATACCAACAATTAGTCCATGAAATTCCGAAAGCTATAACTCTGGTGATTGAAGTTATTTGCGGGTGATAAGCTCCAAGTTATGTAGAGAAACATGACTGCCTGATGAGCTGACCGAGGGTCAACTGGGTGTTAGGTTTTCATTTTAGTTGTAGGATCTTTTGTTGATACCCAGCTGATGTCAATTATTGTCCCAGCTCACGAGAACCAACAAAGTTTGAACAGCTATGCAGTTCCCTCCACCTTTTGCTTTAACATCTGCATACTCTGGATTGAACTAGATCCATTTAATATTTGGATAAACTTCCCCGAGTACTCTCTTTTAATAAGATAGTCAACAGAAAATAGAAAGTATAAAAATGAAGAGAGAAATCCAATGAACTGGTTCTTAACGAGTCCATTTCGGATCAGTTAAGGAATAGGTTATAATAGAACATAGAGTTTTCAGTAAAATAGAAAGTTGGTATGACAATAGTTTAGCAACTTTTCTCAATCGCCTAAAGAAAGATTTTAAACTGCTCCGACGTGAATTGACCATCCTTAGTCGTGTCTCTTCAAGCCGGCTGGAGGAGTTGGTAACTCATCTGTGCAAAAGTCATTTAAATGCATGTGAAAATTTGCACGTAAGATTCTTATGGACTCTACCCACCCTCCATACTCACATCTAACTTCCTGTTGTTCCCATCCGTCAACCAAATCCCAATATCATTGTGTTCCCTCTCGAAGAAGTATATATCGTAACACTACAGTACCCTGACTAGCATGTATTCTAGTTAACAAAGAACAGGTTTTCACAGACTTTGTTAACAGTTTTGGGATTTAAATCTCCTGTCTTGAATTATTATTTTATTTTCTCCCTTGCTCCAACCAGTATATTTTTAACTGAGATGTGGGCTTTTAGCCTACAGAAGTTATTGCAATACAATGCAATACAATTTATTTGGTTCCCGTTTTGCTCTCGTGATGGTGTCAAAAAGAATCAGAAATACGCTTGTTTCAAGTCTCTCGTATTGACAGAAAACGCAAGTTTCAGATTGTTTGCACGACCTTGGACAGAAGTTGTCTTATCTATCCACCATGAATTCATATAAAATTTAATGTTCTTTATAAAAACAGGTCAGTGACTGCTTTCCGGTTCTGGTGTCATTTAATCCGTTAGTAATATAGTGCATTCTTTTAGTACAATCTGTAGCCTAGTTAAATTGAAGCACCAGTACCTGGGGCGATGTGTTAGTTCCAGTTTAATTAACATATCTGTTGTTTTATTTCTAAGTATTTCATGATCATGAGGGCAAGAAGAAGCTGTGCATGTACCGACGAGTTTGGCGTCAAATAGGTCAAACTTCGGTCCATTTCACTTGCCCGTCATATACTGGATTGCGAGGAACGTGACAAACCTAGAAACACCTTTCTTGTCTTTATCCCCCAACGGCTAATCGTCTATCACGGTTCGCTAACGTAGCTGCCATTTGACGGTACAAGCACGATTTGTGTAAAAGGATCGAATTTATGCTGCCGTGGTGGGTGTCATTGTCCCCCACCCTCCTTACCATGGTTACTCTCCCTGCCCTCATGCCCAATCCGGTTCGAACCAGTAACCATTCGTCTCCATATTGATCGGTTTCTCTTGCCCATTTGTTCGCCCGTCCCCAAGCCTGTCCCTCTTAACCAAAAGTGATCTGAATATAAATACATAATTGATGAGGTAACCACGAAATAGTTGAATTGAACATATCCTGTGATCATGATGGTTCTTCTGTTCCTCATGAAAATGTTAAAGAGAACCGGTTGCATGAAATCTCATGATCATTTGATAGCACATGTTCAGTGTCCATCCCATTGTTTGTTCTTTGCGGTGATAGCTCTTCCATCATCGCACGTCTGTATGACGAGAAGGGGTTTCACTCTTGACAAGGTGATTCAGATGCAGTAACTCAGTGAAATGCTGCTTATGTCTAAGCTGTAGTTTTGGTCGTCTGTTTCTTATGGTCATAGTTATATACACTGATTGTGTTGAATCTCCACTGTTTCATTAAATACCCTTTAGTTGAAATGCCCGACAACCTATTTATTCGTGTTGAAGAAGTCAAAGCAAAGACTGTCAGTGTCAATGAGTGATTAACTGATGAAAATTTAGTCTAAAGCAGTTATCGGCGAAATGATAACGATATGTTTGTGATCACCGTGGTCTCACCGTTATTTTACAATTTCTAAATATCAGTTGGGGCCACTAGAGCTCCTGTATGTTAAACAAATAATTTTCATTCCTTATTCAGCTTGCCTGTAATTCTGTGAGATGTCTTTGATAAACTTTTTATCTTGGTTTTACACTAGTGATGTTTCTTACGATTGTTACTCTACGGAAATCATTTCTAACACTGCAATGCCTTAAAATATTGTTATTGTTTATTGCTCAATAGTCTAGCACTCCGATAAAATGGAGCTTAAGTCATTGATTGCTTTTGGAGGCAGCCTTGTAAAAACACTCGTGATAAATTCGCAATTCCGCAAAACAAATAATTAAGCATTTTCATGGGTACGAATTTTCTGTGAAATATTACGACTTATGATGCATAGCCAATATATGACCCTTCCCCTGAGCTCTCCACTAATTCGAGTCGCATGAATTGGTAAATGCATACATGCCTCGACATCCGGTCAACATTTTAATTTGCGAATCCGTGCTAGCTGATGGTCGCTTTATTTTGCCGTTTTTCTCATACAGACTTATCCATTATTCCTCAAACGAGGAACAAACCGCATCATCATTTGGAAGTGTTGCGTTTACGGAATAATGATGATGATAAAGGCACCCGAATAGCTGAATTATTACCAGCTTACCGATCCGTGCTTTAGGCTACACTCATCTCGGAAAATTGTTCGTGGAAATTAATAATTTACAAATTTTCATAGCATCCACACTTGATTGATCCAGCAACGAAAATCATATATTTTACAATGTTTTTTTTACAGTTTTTTGTGAGTGATCGACGTATATTGTTTTTGGATCATTTATATATTTTATATTTTATATTTTGGTTCATTTATATTCGTTAATCGGTTTATTCAAACTAGTTTGTTCATAACAATCACAAATATTACTATCTTTGATTTAATAACTTGAAGAGCAGAAATTGTCTGCGATTAGTCAAAGCTGTGATCAAGCCATTAAAATATAAATTGATTTCTCTCTTGTGAAATCAGCTGCCTGTAACTAATCATTTTAGTGACTTCTGGGTTGAGCAGGGATTTGAGAAGAAAAGGTCAATTATCATCTAAAGAACTGTGCTGTTCACGAGTACTTAATTAAAGCATGAACTCTGATCTTACATTTTTTGCCTAATATAAAGTAGCATTCCTCGTAAAGAAAAAAATACCATATTCCTACATATTTAAAACGAAGCTATCTTTTGTTCTAATATATAAAGAATGCAGTTGCATCTGCGATTGTTTTACTTTTTCAATTTTATTCTTCTCGGAAGATGAGCAGTGCTACAAGTGAATTACCACATTCGGGTTTGAAAGCATGCGGGTTGATCGAATGTCGCACATTTCTGAGGTGCAAATAGCCTGGTGTGCCGCAGAAAATTATCGCCCGGAAT